AAATTCCGCAATGCAATTCATAGTTTATATTTGTAGAATGATACAAGACATGCCTTGTGTGAAAGGAAATATTTAAATCTAAACAAAAAGAAAAAATAACTAATGAAGAAGCAGTTACATCATTTTCGTCATATTCAAAATACAGTATATATTAACATAAATTCTTGCTTTAATCAATATTTCAATAATTTAATCAATATCAAATTGAATTTACTTCATTCAATTCAAACATAGAACAGAACAAATTTATTAAAATGTCAAAAGTGAAGTTATATTCGTCGTATGAATGCGAGGGTGGACATTCTGATGTGTTTGTTTGTTATACAAATGGTGGATTGGAAGGTCGTGCCTTATTCGGCTTCGTCTACGCAACTGTCAAAAGTTACTGGACATATGTCTTTTTCTAACAGAACAAACGTATTTCTATGTGATTAAAGTTTTAATCCAGGACTCTACCCTGTCATGTAACATAATCAAATACTCATGTTTATTTTAAATTCCTTGTACTCTGTTTGTTTCACGTTTCCACATCATAAGCGTAAACTTCACTGAAAACTATCTATCTCCTGATGTAACAGTCCGTTATGATGTAGCATACATAACTATATTAAACAAGTTTACCTTTACATCTCATTGACCTGTTTTAAGAAAATTTATGAGAGAAGCCACAAAAAGTGACTTTATAAATTGTATATGAATACCACATTCTCAGTCTCAAACGTATTCGTCTCGACGGATTATTAATTATGGTAGGTACCAATGATGTTTCATAATATTGGTGACGCATTTTGCGTGGCGTTTAAAAATTTAACCCCTTTACATTATATGACATATAACATTGAATGTGACAAATGATATAGAATGAATGATACGGAAAGAGATAGCAATCTATAGAATTGCAATCTAATTACACCGATGGGTGTAATTTGATTGTCTCAGTTTCAGTGCGTTAGTATTATTTCTACCTCTTATTTGTATATTACATCATTGCCTGGTACTGATATTATGAATTGCTACTATACTAATTATTCATAAATTTTTACTGGCAATGGCTTCACACTATAACATACACTACTACCAGCAGACCATAGATAAATTCTGTCGTGATCGAGTAGGTGAAATGGCCGAATACTAAAACACGTAAAGTTATCGTGGCTACACTAAATATTATAGATGGAATTTACAGAAATAATTTATAATGGGATCTCTTAGCAATTTTACGCTGAAAACAGCATTTCAATTCTGTTATTATTCCTACTCTCTTTGGTTTATTTATTCAAGTAACTATTTGCTCAGACTTCTGAGAATGGCTCTTGAGCAGTTACTAAACGTGGCTTTACGTTTGTTTTCTTATTCATTCTACTCATATGATAACGTGATCAGTAACGTCAATATCTTCGCAATGAAAATGTTGAACTTTTAGATATATTTACTACATGATGGTTATATTCAGAAAAAGTGGTATATAAGCACATATAAGCTTAAATTAAAAATTTCAAAATAAACTATGGGAGAGTAAATAGAATAAAAACAGGTGTTTGTCAGTCTTTCCTATCTTCACGGAGCAAAGGATCGATATAAATCTAACCTCAGAAACCGTTCATAAGAAAAACGAGAAAAATAGACGGTTATTTTAAGCCTATCTACTTTGCTTAAGAATAAAAAATAAAAATAAAGTCTTCCAAATGACCCCCCCCCCCCCCCCCCCCCCCCAGTTTTTGGTTCTATAATTAAACTTAGATAACTTAGCCCGATGAACATATGATTGTGGCGAATTAGTGACTTAACTAACCACACCATAACTTCAAAAGTTTTGTTTGGGACATTTGATTTAGGTACACCAATTTATCTCCAGATTAATAACTCGATCTATTATTGATAGACAATTTTATGTTTATTACTGACCCTGAATAAGAGCCCCGTGGCATTATACGCCGATGGTAAGAGATCCAATGGCTTGACTTTGATTCCTTGGGAGAAAGGCAAAGCCCTCGCTTGGGATGCTACTTGCGTAGACACTTTGGCTGTCTCTCTTCTAAGGGGTCAGGGCCGAGGCGGCGTTGGAGGCAGCTGTAGTAGGTGGCGCAAATAAGTCTTTTTGTTCAGATTATGTATTTGAGCCGTGGGGTCTCCGTACATCAAAATTTTTGCAAGGTTTACGTCCTTGGCTTAACGCCGCGGCTGATAACAAGAGAGCTGCTGGTTCTTTTCTCGCTCAAAGATTAATATAAATAACATATCTATCATATTAATATGCATAACTTATGCAGCGAGGAAATGCATCTAGCGTTCTGGGCACCATGCCGCGTGTAGTAGGTTTATTACATAATATGTAATTTAGATAGATTTAATTTTGTAAGGATAATATATATGTTGAAAATGTATTGTCAACATTAGGATGTGGAGAAATTTAATCTATTCAAATGAATTTTTGACGAGATTAAATATCTTAAATATTAAATGTCTAAAGTTTATGTACCTATATTTGGATGATAATCATTTTTTGACAGGGCGGAACAATGACACACATGAGTGATACGCTACAGATAAGATATGTTATAATCTTCCTCCATGAAATAACGTCACAGGCATCAAAACATTCAAAACAAATAGAAGCATCAACATTACTTACATTGGATTACAGATTGTTTTGTAAGTTGTCAATCTATCGATGTAAATGTTACATTTATTAGTATAGCCTTTAATGATAAAACTAAATGACAATAAATAAGAATTGTCAATATGTATCAAGTAAAATAAAGAAAAAGAGGAGATATTTACTCAAAAATCTAAAAATCTGACAAATACGTGGTTATTAATTTATGTAATGGCCAAAAGAAACTATTCCATTCAACTCCCTCTATGACAAGGATTCTAATTTTGGGAACTGTTGGAAACTGTATCGTAAACATAGAGAACAACAGTATCGGTCTAACACCCGGTTTCTGAAACACTGATCATCGTAGAAGTCAACTAACCAGCCGTTTAATGGATTTTCAAATATTATTTAAGTTGCTACGATGATCAGTGTTTCTCAAACCAGCCGTAAGAATAATAAACGAAGAAATGCATTATGAAAATTATCTTTACCTTTTTAACCCGATAAATTTTTAGATTTAATATCCATATTTCTATTAATAAGGAAATAATGTCAACTGTACAAGGCATTTGTACAATCGCTTAGCTTATAGATGCACATGTTCGTTCATTATTCCGTTAATTTATAACTAAATAATTGTATATGTTCATGTTTAGTAACAACCACCGACAACCGCGACCCTTATGAATAGTGGTCTTATTAGCTATAATTATCACATTAAATGGAGTCCAATTAGCTGAACAGTATGCATTCAAACGATAATCGAAGGTTTTCGATTATCGAAACTCACGCAACCGTGTTGGCAACAAAAAATTAGGTAAATGTAAAGAACATTGATGTTCGCGTAATACATAAAAATAAAATTAAAACGATAGAGAAAAATCACTAATAACAGAATTCGCCGCTTATAGTTTTCTAAAAAAAATAATTATGAAATAGCGTAATTTTCACTATAGAAATCCGTCATTTTATTTTTGTCAATATGTCAAATTCTGCTCTTATTTCTGGGTGGTCATAAAAAGAAAGTAACCACGATGATTAAGGCTTTTAACCAAAACTATCCAAGTCGGATTGCTCTGTGTCGGTTCTGTGACTCATTAAACTTAAAAAAAATCGAACTCGTAACGAGTATGACTTATCCAGCTTCCTATATTTATAATGTTGGCAGAACTGTGTATTGAGTTTTTGAAGTCAAATTAATAAAATGGCGGATTTTCTTAGTGAAAATAACAAGTTTTAAATATATTTTTCTCGAAAACTATAAGCGACCGGAGAATTCAGCTTGTGGATTATTCATTAGTGATTTTTCTCTATCGTTTAAAATTTAATTTTATTACACGAACATCAATGTCTTTTAAATTTGCCAAAAAGTCTAAAAATTATAAACTAAATTAATTATATACTAAAAAGTAAACTCAGTCCCCAAACCTTTAAAAATAAATGTTAAAATCTGTACTAATATTATAAAGAGCATTAATGAAGTGTTATTAGTGAAGCCGGGGCGGGCCTTTAGTAGTTAATAAAGTTTAATAATAGAAAAAATAATCTGAAGTATAAACTAAGTCGTGATCACTTCATACGGTGGGGCACACTTACTTTTGGACAGGTGTCAATGGCTGCGATAAGATACTGTCGCTTTATATGAAGATAGAAGACTCGCGTGTGTTCGTATCTAAGTGTCATCGATGCACGCAGGGCCATTTGAGACGATAAGCTGGACAAAGGTACTTTTTTGCAACAACTTTACATTCAGATGTCAATGATTATTTGCATCTAAAGTACTAAGAAAAAAATGTTGATTCTGTTTTTTTTTTTTTGTTAAAAGAAACGGTATAGACCCTGAGGAAGACGCAGGCCCAGTGGTCGGCTCACTTTATAATCGGACAGGAAAACTGACGCTGGCAAACCGTTCCACTCTTTTGATGTACGCATTATGAAAGAGGAGATTACAACAAAAGAATGGAGTCCTGCAGATTTAGTTGCCCGATAGTGAAATCGGTAGGGGAGAATTCAATTATTATAAAAGTATAGAACATCGCGAGACTGACGCTTGAGACTGGGCAGATTGGTTCTTACGCCTCTCCGCCGAGTCCAAAGCAGCTAGGTTATATATACGATTGGGTTTTAAAAAGAAAGAGCTTTTCCAGTGTGAAATATTGCCGCACCTTTGTGAACCCAATTACCTTGCTTTCGGCTTGTTCGTAGACTCCTTTAACCGATTAATTAATTCTAATTGATTGTATATTTAATTATTTTTTCCTATTTTGAAAGTCACTCTTAAATTTTAAGGTTAACACCATAAAAATATCCAAAACGTTAAATAAATGTGGAACATGTACATTGATAAACAATCTAGATAACCAATGCATATATATTATGACAACCATTTCAAAAAGTAGCAATGTTAGCAAGACTTCAAACTATGTAAGTGTCATTTCAACTTTTATGGACTAGAAAAAAGCGTGTACAGTATCTTTCCTTATTCTCATAACTCTTCATTAACAAACTGTGAGGGTATCTCATTCGTGGGGTTTGGATGAGATTAAAATAATAAGTAAGCAAAATTGCACTACTTCGTACTAATATTACTATGTTATTGTCACTAACAAGACAACTCTTCAAAAATTTCGAAATCCGTGAAATCTGTCGATGGATCGGGCACCGTCGAGGCTATTTTTAGCTTACATTATTACTATTTCCCATAACGAAACCTAATAGACATATTGGACATTTGCGGTTTTTTGGTCAAAAGTTATGGATTTCATTTTAAATTGACTTAAAGTGAAAAATAAATAGTTTTGTATAGAACATAAGAATTTTACCACGATTTTATTTTGTGTATACATTTGATATATATACACCGGCACATTCAGCGCAACGTTAAAACAACGTTATACGAGAGTGTAGAAATAATATCGTGTTATTATAAAAAGGTGGAATTAAAACAAATAATAATCAGACATGACAGAAACATACTGATAAACATCTTTTAACATCGAATTGAAGAAGTTTATAATGAAATTTTATGTGTAATGAAAAAAACCACGCTTTTCCCCCTTGTGTGGGAACACAAACAATATTGTAAATTAAAGATTACTAATATTTTAACATTAAATAAGATTAATAACGTGTGTTTCCCCCTCGTGCTTTTACTTTTCTTTCCTTCTGGACATGCTGCGAACTATATTATTATTTGTTTCTTTGGACAAGCTCTGACAACTCTTCAAGTTAAGCGTTTTGCATTTCTCTTAAATTGTTTGGTTTGTTCTGGATCTTACACTTTTCTTTAACAAGTCCCAACATGAATAGGATCTGGGGATTTTGCTGGCCACTGCATCACTATCATATCCACATGGTTAAGATATGCATGGGTGCACTTTGAGCCCGAGCGTTATCCTGCATCAGAATAAATCCGTCGTCATTATACGAGGGCAAATGATACAACGTGCTCTTCTAAAATATCCGTGATGTACCTATCAGTAGACATATTTTCTCCATCGACCATCACTAACTCTGTTGGAGCTCCAAAGGTTTGCCACCGTATTATCAAAATTAGCCAGAATGTATGGTTCTCCTTTGCGTCTCCATATTCTCTGCCTTCCACCAATCCGGTTTCTATTTCATTTCAAATCGGGCATTTTTAGTCAACTAAAGTGCCTACTATTGACAAGGAAAGAAACGTTTACTTATAAAATTGAGAATGTATCGAATTTTTAAAACTTTTAAATTTCTCCTCAGACCGAACGCTATGTCCACTAACATATTAATATTACCGGGGGAAAAAAACAAATCGTTAAAAAAATGACTGTTGCTAATGTTCCATTTTTAAATTAAAGTTTCAAAATGTTTTAGTGAAGCCAAAACCCTTAAAATCTTATATTGTACCTATATACGACGACCCGAATGGCGTAGTGGGTAGTGTACCTGCCTCCTGCGCCTGAGGGTGTGGGTTCGATCCCCACTACTGGAAAAATATTGTGTGATGAACATGGTGTTTTCTAGTGTCTGGGTGTTTCTATATGTATAATATGTATTTATTTACAAAAGAAAAGTATGTTTAAGTATGTTTATCAGTTTTCTAGTACCCATAGTACAAGCTTTGCTTAGGTTGGGACTAGAAAATGTTGTGTTCAAATGTGTCCTAAATATTTATTATTATTATTTATTATTATGTAAGAAGCCATTTGGAATATGTGTTACCGCATATACACTGATCACATTGACAATTTTCAAAAACGTTTCATTAAGTGTCTTTGTTTCCACCAGAAAATTCCATATCACTCCGATCCGATGAACTCTTGTCCAGATACCTATCGTCTTGCTCAAGTAGGGTTTGACACAGTTAGAGAATGGCTAAATAACAATCTGCTTATCTTGAAATCAACAAAAACTAAGCTTATACACTTTTCCATACACAATCCATCAAATGCCTTAGATTCTTCTTTGCAAATATCAGCGAAGCCTCTAAATCTTTGTGATAACTTTGCATCTGATAATGATTCAAGCGTTACTGTCCTTGAACGTGTTAAATCAGTAAAATACTTGGGTGTTTTGATAGATGCCAACTTACCATTTAAAGAACATATTGAAAGCCTATCTAAGAGAGTAAGGAAACTCATTTTAATTTTTAAACAATAACGTCAATCAGCTGATGCAAATGTTATGAAAATGGTGTACCTAGCATTATGTCAGTCCATCCTTAGCTACTGCACAATCACGGGGGGCGGTGCAGCAAAATCCAACATGATAAAGATTGAGCGTGCTCAAAGAGCCATACTTAAGGTTTGCTGTTTTAAGCACCGTCTCTTTCCTACAGACCTACTATATGAGTATTGCCAAGTGCCCACCGTAAGGCAACTATTTATTCTTGCTACTGCAATGATATTTCATTAGCATTCTATAACACCTTATAACCGGAATCCTACTACTCGCAACCACCTTTTAGCTACTTCTACGGCGCGTACACACGAAAGTTTACCGATTTTCTTAAGCCGAACTATCTAAAATTATCAATAATAATAATAACAATAGAGTGAAGTGTTTACAACTACAGAGAACTACGTATTTCCCGCTCCGCGCCACTCTTCCTTTCTCACTCTTTCTCTATGTGTTACTCTCTCGCACTACTACACACTACTCTCTGGCGCCATGATGCCATCACAGCTGATCACAACATCATATCACCACCTTGGGTCTATGCACAACGCTTTATTTTGTTTATTGTGTTTTCACAAGTATTTTATGAATTAAATGCAGTGAGTTTAATGTATGTGTTACGATAATGAGTGACTATAGTGATAATAAAAGAAATTGTGTACTTTGTGGAGAAAAACTGGAAAAACTAGTAAATTTTTTTTCAATTGTCAGATTTAAAAAATCCCTTCACAAAATTGTCAGAATATGAGTCAGCATGAACAGCAGAACTGATGCGTTTGAGTACTTCAATGTCACTTTTTTTTGCATTTTGAATGTGTGATGTGAATTTCAGTCACGTTCAAATCGTCAGTCTTTATTCTAGGGTGACATTTTTAGGGTTCAATTAACATCTCTCTTGAATTTCTGACAAGCTCTAGTAAAAAAAAAAAATTCCACTTTCCACCTCTTTGTACGGCCAGCTCTCACTAGCAATCGGCAGATTAATATCTCTGTGTGGTCAGAAGTTCGTAGGTCGTATACGCTATCAAACTCTGACGCGCTCGAGAATTTTTTTCTGACTACTTTTTTTGACGCAATGTTTTTTTGCTACTTTTCCGCTAATTGTGCTGGTATATGAAAAATAAGTACTTCCTTTGTTTCAGTTTGTTCATACTTCGCTTTATAGCGATATCTGGGAGCAAAGTTGCTCGTCATGAAATTTATAAATTTCCTGATAATTTTCTTTTTGGGAGTGCGACTTCTTCCTACCAGATCGAAGGCGCTTGGGATGAAGATGGTAAACATTGTTGATATTTCCCTTGAAGACAACTATTAAAAGTAAAAATACAAACAGTTGAATATATATTTTACAGGTAAAACTGAAAATATCTGGGATCATATAACTCACACAAATCCATGCATTGTAAAAGATTGTTCAAACGGAGATGTCGCGGATGACTCATATCACCAATACAAAAGGGACGTGGAGATGATGCGAGAGTTGGGCTTAGATTTTTACAGGTTTTCCTTATCATGGACGCGAATCCTGCCTACCAGTTTCCCCGATAAAATTAACGAAGCCGGGGTCCAGTACTATAACAATTTGATTGACGAAATGCTGAAATACAATATTGAACCCATGGTTACAATTTTTCATTGGGACTTGCCGCAAAAGTTGCAAGAGATGGGTGGCTGGACTAACCCCCATATAGTAGACTGGTTTGCAGACTACGCATACGTTGTATTTGAGTTGTTTGGAGATAGGGTTAAGTATTGGATTACCATCAACGAACCGCGAGAGATTTGCTTCATAGCAACAGAATTGTTGCGTTTACCACCTGGTGTAGCGAATTACTTGTGTACTAAAAATGTGCTCTTAGCTCATGCTAAGGCGTACCATATTTACGATGAAAATTTCCGTTCGAAACAGGGCGGTTCCATATTTATCTCATTGAGCGCTCCATGGTTTGAAACAGAGTACGAAGAGTTTGCTATTGCCGCCAAACAAGCTAATGATTTTATGGTAAAGTTAATTGCCATGAAACTTTATATTTCATAAGAAAATAATCTAATTGTTAATGACTTTCTGCTTTTCACAGTGGGCATTATATTCTCATCCCATATTTTCTGAAAATGGTGATTTTCCACAATCAGTCAAGGAAATTGTGGCCACTAAGAGTTCCGAACAGGGGTTTTATAGATCAAGATTGCCTGAATTTACTAATGAAGAAATTGATTACGTTCGAGGTACCTCAGATTACTTCGGGCTTAATCATTATTTTACGAATTATGTATATCGCAACAGTTCTACATCCAATTACTACGAATCACCATCATTCGACGATGATCTTGAAGTTGCGACGTATCATAAGGACGAATGGAAATTAGGCGAATCAGAGTACAATAAAGTGAGAAATTATAGCCATTTTTTATTCTAACTGACAGAATTTGACAATGTGACTGTAACGCCCGGTTTCTGAAACAGTGATCATTGTAGAAGTTCAAAAATCAGCTGTCAAATGGCTTTACAAATGACTTTTGAGTTGCCAAAATGATGGTGAAACATCTACGATAATCAGTGTTTCAGAAACTACACAGAACAAATAATTCTAGTAAAAGTTTTAATAGGTAAGTTACAACTTTACACAAAAAAATTGATCATATTCTTGATTAGTTTTTTATTTTAAAAATGTCATTCGTAGACATAACATTTATTAATTATATAACAGTGCATGTACATTACATTCTCTTTAACCGACTTCGAAAAAGGTGGTAAAGAAAATTGAAGTTCTACGGTGGTAGAGCCACGCAGCATTCTTGGCTGTTGCACGAATGAGCAGGCTCATCCGGGTTAGTACCACGACCTCACAGAAGACCGGCGTAAAGTGGAAGTTAAATACTTACGCGTTTCGTCTCTGGTGAGTGAGGTGGCCGGAGCCCAATTCCCAAAAACGTTGTCAACGTATCTGCAAACCCTCGGGTGTAGCAAATTTCCATGGATGGCGGTATTCACTTAACAATTGTATTCACAATAAATTGAAGATTCTCAATTCGGATGTGTTTCTTTATATTTGTTACTTACCAACTTTTTCATTTATTTACCGATGTTAAAAATTATGTTTGCATTGGATTCGATTTAGCTGCCATGTTGTCCAATAAAAATTTCATTGGCGTTAGACAGTCTGGAGATAATCAAGAAACTCCTCAATATCGAATAGAAAATGTATAGTGAGTGAAATATTTGAAGTCGGTTTTATTTTGCTTATGGAAATGTTTTAATTGTAGTTTGTCCCGTGGGGATTCCGCAAGCTATTGACACGAATAAGAGAGGATTACGACAACCCCCCAGTTATTATTACTGAAAATGGATTTGCAACTCACGGTGACTTGGACGATCAGGACCGAATTACCTATTATAAGTATTACCTTGATGCAATGCTAGCCGCCGTTGACGATGGATCGGACATCCGAGGCTACACCGCGTGGAGCCTCATGGACAATTTCGAATGGGTAGCAGGATACACGTGAGTCCATTATACTCTTTTTTTTATGAACTATACACTAACTGTACACTATAGTTTTTTTTAATCAAAAAGTAATCATTCATAAGCTACTGTCCTAGCCATTGAGGAATTACCTAATGACCTGGGGTGTGTATTATTTTATGTTTTGGGCGTGTACTAAGGTTATTTTAATAATAAAAAAACTCAGATTCGTCAAAGATTACTAGTCATAAGGATGTAAACGTGACACTAAACTATTATGCTCATGCATTGTTAAGTTTTGACTAAAACGTAAATCCTTATAATGCATGCAACATAAATAAATTTTGATAAAGATTAAAATAAAATTGATTTCTTGCTTTTTTATTTCATAATCATAGACAATTTCGAAGTCATCGATCTATAGCAATCGAAACTTTGAGAATTTAAAAACCAATAATATCAGTAAATCCATTCAACATTCATTATCATCACATTAAATGCAATCAATATTTATGTAGCATTTATTGTGCTACTTGTTCAGGGAGCGTTTCGGCCTGTACGAAGTGGATTTCACAAGTCCGGAGCGGACTCGAACGCCACGCAAGTCCGCCTTCGTGTACAAGCAAATAGTGCGTTCTCGCCAACTCGACTTGGACTACGAGCCGGACACTGACGTCATGACCATCGACGACGGACATTAGATAAAAATAAAATAAAACTGCATAAAAAATATTTTATTTTAAAGGAAATAAGGATTAATTGCCACAGCAGAGGCAATAGCAATAACGCAATACGTTGATATAAATTTTCAATTACACTTGGAATTAAACATCGTGATTAGTTTGCATTCGTAGTTCAAGTACATGTTATGGCAATATGTCAAAACTTTGGATATGGTTTATTAACTTCTGTCAACATCTAATTCACATGATCTTACTACTTTGCTTTTCTTTAAAGTAAGAACAAACACTTGATTTTAATTTCTTTGTTTTATATCTGTAAAACCATGATAGCTCACTGTCCGATCGTTCGCTTTTAATTCAGTATACTCGAGCAACATGAGTTCAATCTCCATATTTTTTTTATTATTTCGAAAATATGCAGGTTTCCTCACGATGTTTTCCTTCACCGCTGAGCACGTGATGAGTCAGCACTTAAAATTAACAATTTCATTGGTGCCGGCACGGGGAATCGAACTCGGGTTGCTCGAGTATATTGAATCAAAGGCGAACGCCCGGAAACAGCTCTCACGGCTATCTTTCGTTATTAATCCTAATACAGGATTAAAATTTGTTAGATATTGTTACAGCCGTTTATCGCCCGTAATGTCCCACAAGTAACTTGTAAGTCATATATATCGTGTGATTAATAAGTTCCATTAACCAACTTATTTTTTCACCTGCCTTTATCCTTACTAGGTGGGATCGGCACAAGATATGAATCATGGAGTTAGTTCCCTTACATACGAAAGACAGTATTTTATAAATATATATAAAAGAAATACTTGTTAATTTCATGGTGCGTAAGAAATTAGTAAGACCGCAAAAGGAGGCCGTAGGACAAAGAATATTGCCCAGGCTCGCAACATAATGAGGAAAGCTTTAAGAGCGTGAATAACGTTTTACTGTGGCAGGGCCACGAAAGAGTCTACACTGTTGCAAAAAGTACCACGACCTCACAGAAGGCCGGCGTGAAGTAGAAGTATTGTACTTCTGAGTTTCGTCTGGTGATTGAAATAGCCAGGGTCCTCTTTATTATAATGTCGCCACGCATCTCCAACCCTACCGGTTTTGCAAATATCAATGGACGGCGGTTATCACTTAAGATCCGGTGAACCAACAGCTCGCCTGCCACCTTCTCCCGAACAAGAAGAGAGTAGAAAGTAATCTTAATGAAAAAATCACTATCATCAGTTTTCAGCAATAAATATTATTTATTCATAGCTCCATTAAATTATATATGCCATATTCACCTAATCCAGACGTCCACTTAAACGAATTCTTTTCCTACCGAATATTTTTTAATGGATAATTAAATAAACAAAAATACCTTAATTTTCTTCACAGCTCTTAACTGAAGTGCGGCATACAAAAAGGTCGCATTTCGGCGTAATTCTATTTATATTCGTCTTTTTCGATTTAATTTCTTTCAAGGGTTGGAATTTTTAGTGCATTTTTCTAGAAATACCAGTTAATTTGGGAATCCTTTTGATGGCAACGATCTTATTTGTTTATATCTGTATTTCTTCATTGATTCAGTATTACCAAAAATAAATACAATTGTATTTTCTTATAATAAAAATTCGTAGAGAGAGATTAATTTAGAGTTTTAACTCTCTCGTTATTTATAACCACTTATGATTTATTTATATATTCTTTACTGCAAGTACATATTCGATTCACAGCGGACTTAATGCCGTATTGTACATGCATTAAGTCCGTTGTGAATCGGACCGTCGTCGTTGAACACAACTATTCTCTACTAATCAAACCGGTTATTTTGAAATGCATAATACACATTTGAACATTTTTTTATCAGAAATTTCAAAATATAAGAGTCTACTTTCATATTTAACTAATGCAATCGTTAGGATTAATTGAAAATGCAATACTTTGAATAAAAAAAAATATAGGATAAAAAGTTACTTCATGTAAATCATTATAACTGGCGAAGATTATCAGAGATGGCCCAATGCTGACTCAGAGTACAGCCATACTCATACAAAAATGTTTCTTGTTTACACCGGTTCCATTTTTAGCAAGCTAGCAATAAATTACGTAGCTACATTGAGGCCCATGAACGTATATCACTAGCAAGCATTGTCTTGAGCTGTTTCGCCTATTAACATGTAAAAAGCAGAAAACATGTCACTACCGTTCTGTATGTATTGTCAACCGCGATAACATAAAATGTCAGCTCATTGGTTAGATTCTGTTCAAACCGCAACATATCTACTCAAAATTTCCAATACTATAGGAAAGAAGAATAACTTTGGGCATAACAGTTGCTATATAAGGTAAGTAGGTAAAAATCCCAGTGACTTGTTCAATGACTATTCCATTTATCCAGTTTTTAACCAGTAAAAAATTGTTGTCCTTTATTTTTCCCTGGTGTACCATAACACAGTTTCCCCACATATCTTTGTGTTTTTCACTGTGGTACGTGTGGCCACAGATCTGCTTCTGCTGTTGCACGAATGGGTAACACGGCTCCACGGGACATCTAAGTGAAGTGGAAGTGTTAATAATTATAAAGTGAGTGTGGTAAACGGGGCGCGCTTTATCTTACGTTGGCAATGCATCTGCAATCGATATGGTATTGTAGACGTCCGTGGTCGACATTTAATATTTATAACGGTCATCATTTAACATCAGATGAACCATCTGCTCGCTTGCCATCTAAATGTATGGAAGTGTAGTGGAGTAGAACTGTATGTACCATAATAGTTTACAGATGTTATTTATTATTATCTAAACTCTGCACACTTCAAGATCTGCCCGTTGCTCTAGCCAAATAATAATTTTATTCTTAAATACATTAAACATTCACTTTATACCGCAATGATTTACACGTTTTCGTTCAAAGTGACTGTTTCTTTTCACCGCCTGTGGTAGGACTATGCAACAGTGTTCACTATTGCACGAATGGTCAGGTCCGTCCGCGTAAAGTAGTAATGTTACACTTCTGCGTTTCGTCTGGTGAGTGAGGTCGCCGGGTCCACTTTTTTTAAGGTGGCAATGCATTTGCAACCCTACGGGTGTTGCAAATTTTCGCCTGCTCGTTTGCCACTTTCTCGCATAAAAAAACCGCCTAACTTCCAGTTATGTAGTTCCGTTTACACAAAAACTATAGATTTCGGAATATATCCATCATAGCCAAATGTATTCGAAGTGACACGCGGCTCGCTTGAATCAAACATCAATTTTACTACGATGAAATAGTGTTGTTCTTGTCTGTAAAAACAAAGGACTGAATAAAAATATTGCTAACCAAGAAAACATTCAATTACAACTTTAAGAGCAACCACACTGGGGTTACATGCATAGAGTATAGACCTGCTGTCTTCATATTATGTAGTATTTTATGAATAATCTTATTAATGTTTTTTTTTATTTCTCATTCAAAAAGGATTTTAGAGCTTTTCATCATGTTTATAAACGTAAATCTCTATGTCATATTATTTCCCAGAGATGTTTTTGCCACATATTTTCATTTTGGAACATAATATCGCCCATAATGCTATTAACACATCATTATATTACCATTCGGTCGCACAGGACAATCGGTAAATTATATTACTTTAAAATAAATACTATTAATTTTAATTTTGCTTAAGAATAAAAAAGAAAAATAGGCTGTCAAATGGCGTTCCCTGTTTTCGTGGAGAGTGTTGAACTTAGACAAGTAAGCCCGATGAAAGAATTATATTATTTGTCACTGAAAATTGTGCTGAATTAGTGACTGGTTCTGGAACAAGGGAGTCAGCGAAAATTATCCTAATAGCAAACACACGTTTCATCTTTGAAACAGAAGAAAAAACTTAGGGTGCCTAGCCATAAGTTGACTGCAAAAGCTCTGTAAATGTTGGAGACATGTGATTGAGACACGTCCATTTTCCACACGCCATACAGGACAACTATATCGGTCAAAGAACAATAAACGAAGAAATGGATTATGAAACGTATGTTGACCTTTTTAGATGGTGGATTTTTAGATAATGATCGCATATTTCCATTTATAAGGAAATAGTGTCAACTGTGCAAGACATATACCTAGCTTAGCTTATGAACGTAGATGTTCGTTCATTATTCGGTTTAGTAAAGTAACAGCCTTTATATGTCCCACTGCTGTGCAAAGGACTCTTCTATACAGAGGATCTTAGGGCATATGCTTTTAAACGACAAACGAAAATTTTTATTTGTCGAAATTCACACAACAGTGCTGGCTTGAAAAAATTCGGATAAAAAATAAAGTCGGTCATACCCCGAACCTGTAAAAACTTACCAAGTATTAAAATTATTCAATCATCTTATTTCTTTTAATTAATGTTTATATAATTAGGGTTAGTAATAGCAAAAATAATTTGAAGAATATGCTAAGCCGTGATCGCTACACACGGTGGTACTCGCGTCCTTTTGGGCATGTGTTAATGGCTGCGATAAGATAATGTCGTTTTATATGAAAATAGAAGACTCGAAGAAGTGTATTCCTTTCAAAGTGTCATCAACTTACGCAAGGGCATTTGAGATGCTTAACTGGGCAAAGGTAACTTAAAACTTGCAACGAGATGTGTACTTTAGATAATTCACAAGTACTAAGTAAAAAAATATTATTTTCGTCTTAAGTACTGAAAAAAAATTTTATTAAAAAACTTATTTTCAATTTAAATTTAAGGGGCTTAAAAAACTAATTTTAAAAACACATTGCAAAGTATAATTCGAAACATTTATTTGTTTCGAATTATACTTTGCATAAATAATAATTTTGCATTAATAAATAAATGATAATAATAAAAAAAAATAGATTTATTAATGTTAAAACACAGAAGAGGTTTTTTTATTTCTCATTAATTAAGTAATTACTTAGTGCTTACTTCATAATATTGTCTCTCAAGTTTAACAGTCCCGAACACAAGCATAAAGTGGCCAGGCTCTCTGTATTCCATAGGAATATTTATCGGAGAGTGAGCGCGAAAATTACATGACTTAATTATCCCAACCCATTTCACCATTGATCGGTGACTCGTTCAGCGACTTTCTACTTTTGTATCTTTTGTATTTAAAAAATATTTTAAATACTATTGTAAATAGATCATGTTTTGTATTTAAAATATATCTACACTAGCTTTTCGCCCCAGCTTCGCTCGGGTTGAAGCTCTTAAATAAATACCTCTCAACCCATTACAACACTTTGTTCCAATAAAAAAATTGTAACTTTACATCTACAACAACCTTAATGCAATTCCATGAATTATAAGTAGAGGTTCCGCTCGACTTCTTAATGTTAAGCGTTCATTTCAGTACTTGTAGCTGTATTTTCATATTCATCGAATATTAAGTAATGTAAACACATTTTATTTTTATAATATAATATTTTAACACAATATTTTTTTAATTCGAAAATCATAATGTATGTATGTACGAGTAGTGCACTAATTAATAAATTGATAACTTTGTACATTATGCGTGGTTAACACTTTTTTATCATTTTGCTAGGAGTAATCAATAATCTTCTAACTGCGTTTATGAAAACCGCATGGGCTGATTGTATAAATTATGTTATATTAACTGTGAAGGCGGCAGCTTCTGCTGTTGCATGGATGCACCACGCAAAATTGCAACATAGCCGCACAGAAGACCAGCGTGAAGTAGAAGCATTATACTTTAGCGTAGCTGGGGAGGTAACCACGTTTATAACGGCCACGCATCTGCAACCGAGGGGTTGTATCTATGGCGTCGAATGGGCAGGTCCGTCCGGGTAAGTACCACAACCTCACAGAAGACCGGCGTAAAGTAGAAGTGTTACACTTCTGCGTTTCGTCTGGTGAGTGAGGTAGCCGGGCCCACTTTATTTCAAAGCGGCAACGCATTTGCAACCCTACAGGTATTGCAAATGTCCATGGGCGGCGGTTATCACTTAACATCAGGTGAACCGCCAGCTCGTTTGCCACTTTCTCACATAAAAAAAGTGGCAACATCAGCTGAACTGCCTGCTCGCATGCAAAATTTTCGCATTAAAAAAAGATTATAACTTCAATAGGCTTAGAAGGATTCAATAGGAATAAAAAGTATCTGTATAGGTATTAAATTATAATATTATTTAAATTAAGATATGAAATTATTGAAACACAAATCGCCTATCCATTAAGCAGAACCTTTTCAGAGATTGACCGTACTCATATGGACTTGGCATGCCCGTAAGTACAATAACCTTTCCTTTTCTGTCCGATGAAGCTTTGAATAGTACATCAGACTAAATATATCAACAAAGGAAAACACAAGGTCTCACAGAAGATGTATGTGTATATTTGCACTTTTGCATTTTCTTCTTGAAGAACGGGTTTTTTCCATAACTTGAGCGGCGATTATCGCTTAACATTGCATGAACCACTTTACTGCTGTTCTAATATATAGGTATATCTATAATATAATATATTATTTATATATATATATATATAATACCTTTATTTTACTATTAATTGTAAGCCACTGATACGGTATAATGTAGGTACTAAACATTATTGCAAATCAGTAGACGACTGTTCAATGCTGAATGTATATTTTTTATATTTATAATCATATTCTGTGAACATATATTATCATATATTTTGTACAACGATTTTAACTGGGCCAGTTCTATCCACATAATTTAGTAATTTATGCTAATTTTCGTACGATTTTAAATAAGGTATATTTTAGACGCCATATACGTGGCAAAGAGAGAAATTTTAAGCGCACTTCTTGTCCACTCCTGATGTTTATCGACATTTCAATAGCTACTCGAAATACCGCCACCATCTGAAGCCGTCGTGTAAATATGCCTTTGTCTCGGCACGACATTAAACGCAGTCCTTAAAACAAGGCCGAAACGCGGGTTCGGTATAATATGCTCGTTAAGTGCGTTTTTACAGTCGACTTTCATTAAAGACATAACAGTTAGCCATTAGTAGGTACTACTACGGGCCTACTCTCCTATAAGCCCGCAGGAAAATATTGAAACTATAATTCAACCAACACGTATAAGCACGTTACTGACGAGTTATTCATAAGCAATTTAAACTACATCAATCACAGCAACTAAGCTTCCGAGGAAGGTAGTTCCTGCTTTAGGGATCTCGGAGATTAAGGAGAAAACATCATTGAATGAAAAAAGATACGTGAATAAATATAAAGCTTAATCATTTTCTGGGAATGGAGCAGTTTAGATTTAAATATACAATTATGTAATAGCATTAGGTGGCCAGCATAGCAATGCTATATAACAATAAAGAAAAGAGTTAAACGTTGTTTTACGTATAGTATATTCGTATTGATATTAATGATGTAACTGAAAATAGCCCCTGAAGGTAAAAGTGAAGCACTAGTAAGATAACTGTTCAAAACTGTCTGTTAAACTGTTAAACTGAACTAACTGTCTGACTACTAACTAACTGTCTGTTAAACTGAAGCGAGAATGGTAATAATGTTATAATGGACGTCTTTCAGATTTTTCAGAATTTTCCGAAGCTACAGAAGTTCTTCATCGGTATGACAGCATGTTTCATTACTCACCACAGTTTTATACCTGTTTACTTACTAATATGCCATCAATGTGTCGGTTTAGCTACTACTAGTACCTAGATAATGTTTCTCAGCATATATTTATCTCGTACAAACTAACTTTTCTTTATCGCTTTTTCTCGAACTGAATGTTTAACTTCCGTATGTTAAAATACAAGGTCTAATTGTATTGGTAGATAATATTCAAACAGATAATACTAATTATTCGGATTATGTACTTATATGGATGGATTATTAATTTTAATTATTTACCACAAAAGTTGGCAACCTGGTACCGCTATAATTTAAAAAATTAAAAAAAACTGTTAAAAGACGGCCATGTAAAAAAAAGTTATAGGTATGTAACTTTCTAAGTACTTATTTAACTTTAAACTATTTTTATAACAATGTTACCATTTATTTTAGCATGGACATGTTGCATATTTTGAGAAGGTTACAACTCAATATGTCGTCTGAACCATGAATCTGACCATCATAGTTGACAGACCGCACCAACTGCTTGGTAAGGTTTGTTTCTTTCGACTTCAAACTCTTTAGCCATATTATCTATCTAGGTCGGCAAATGACGCTCCTCCTTTTCTGGAAGGTGGCTTTACATTTTAACGTACCTTCGGACCATGGCCGAGGCAAGACCAATATCTGAATATGACTTATTTGGTCAAGACGTTCATAAGTTACATGATCATTAACCGCATCGTTACAAATACATATAAGTATTAGGTGGTCAAACCAAAGCGGACTTGCGACTGTATTTCCGCCACGTCTATGACACCATACATGTAGGCGCATATAGTATCCAGGCGAGTACCCATTGCCTATTTATAGTTGGTGTTGCGGCAGATATCCATTTAGCGGTCGCTGAGGTCGCGTTCCACAACGCTCCACTTAACATATTTGCATGCTTCACGGACCCTTGGGTCTTCTTTCCAGTAAGTCAGTGTATCCTTGGACTTACCTCACGGCCTCCTTTGAAAAACCTTATCAAACTAATGAAATAAATCCGTTTTTATCAATGAAATATGTAAATATAATGCTTAGTCCACCAATGGAAAACAATTACATTACTTCGACATAAATGTTTTCGTTTGGAGACCTGTGGCTGGTGTTCGTCTTCTAGTTTGGTACACTCAAACGATCAGTTTTAATCCCGGTACTATTTTAAGTAACGATTTACGATGGACTCGGTGTTGAAAAAAATCGACGATGACGAAAATTACAAACCAATCCGCCCTAGGGCCTTTACCTTCATACCCACTGTACAGAGAAGCTGTGGCATGTGTCAGCTATTCCTCTTACTCTGCTTAACTCTTATTTGAATGATGTAATATTTTAGGCGCATAAATAATTTCTTTTACCTCAAAGAAAATAAAGTTCATGATAGTACCTACGTACCTACTCTTACGTACGATTATCAATTACCGTTAACTTATTTTCCTTAATTATTTTCATAAATATGTTTGAATTAATTTAGTATGTGCCTAGAACTGATGCAGAAATAAAATTTTTCTTCAATGCGCCGGTCATCGAAAAAAAATTAAAAACCAAACTATCATAAAAGTAAAGTAAAGTATAACCTATATAATAATTTCCACTGCTGAACAAAGGCCTTATGCATAGTCCACCACACGGCCTCACTACGGATTGGCGGGCATCACATAAGTCAGCGCTTAAAATTAACAATCTCATTGGAACCGACACTGGGGATCGAACTCAGGTTGTTAGACTACTAATACTGTACTCTACTAAAAGCGAGAGCCCGGACAGTGAGCTTTTACGGCTCATAACCATTAATTACAATATTATCATCACCAAAATTTATTTGAAAGATTTTTTTACTATTAAAGGATACAATTAAAACTATACATTAAAAATCGCCTTAATGATTCAAAGGACTTAATTATTTTTTTTATTAAATACAGCATTTTAATTTCCTTTATACTTCAAACAAATTTATTGTAACGTTCTATCAACAAACATTTTTAATATCATATTATTTTTAGGTTTTTTTTTATCATTTTAGGGTTTCACTTAAATCCAGATTCTGTTGCTTACAAATTAAGGGCGTTAGAACGCAGATATAAACAAAAAACTTAAGGATTAGAGATATTGATTAACAATAAAAAAATCATAATGTTATTTACATTCCGAAGCACAACTACAGACCAACAAAAGTCTTTTGTCAACAAACGAACATTCATGCAAATACCTACCCACTGTGTTGTCACTAGGTTCCGAAGGCTCATATACTGTCCATTCCTGTCAAAGATCGTCATAAACCACCAACAACAAATATGCGCTAAATTTCAATATTCCCTAAGCCGTACGCAAATTGCTCGAACGGGGAGCACTTAAAATGTACGCATATATGTGCGGTGCGGGCCTATCGGCACCCGTGATGGCGTATTCCGGCAATTGTTCTACAGAGATTTCACGGTCCATTCGCTTCTGGATGGCGGGAGATCGCGCGCTTCCCGAGCGGCTTGGGATCGACCGGTGTCGTCGCGCCACTGAGCGATCTCGCGGGGCCCACGGCAGCGGCGGACGCGCGCATGCGTCGAGCCACGCCGCCGCCCGCCCTCCGCCGCGGAGTTACGCTATCCCTACAAGCGCCGCGCCATAACTCCCCTTTGGACTCAGTGGCCGCCCGCGCTAACGTTCGCCTTGGAGCCACGATGGAGACCGGAGTGTAGGCACCAACGAGATGACATCACGACGACCTGTGTTGCCAACTCTGTTCAAAATATTAATATACTCCTAAATCATTTCAAAAACCCACTAAAATAGTGGTAAAATTCACTAAAACTCCAACCAAAGCTTGCTACATGAGAAACATTTAGAAAGTTTTGGTTCCAATTTACCTCCTAAAATACCTCCATCGTAATTTTTTTCTCCCCAAATTTAAGAGGAAAACTCCCAAGGTGGCATCCATGCGGCTGCCACGCGTGTACTGCGCGCTATTTCATTAACGCCGATGAGACTGACGTAGACTGGATAATAAAAGCGACCATCGCACCCTCCGAATTAGATAGATCCAATCTACCTTGAACGGCCCGAATAACCACGTCCGAATACCGTTCGCGCGCGACCACACGCGAATTGTAATTTTTATTGTTGCACGTCAGCTGGCCGGCTAAAAATATTGAATCAATAACGGGCCTCGTAAACAAACTGGGATGAACGTGTTCCCGATTCGTATTTACGTTGCCGGTAAATGGAGGTTGGAACGATTGCCCGGCTGTGCGCCACTTAATATTCCACTGGTGGTGCGCTCCCGCCCCACTTAGGGGACAGTTTCTTTGAGGATAATTGGCACTGTCCCGGTAGATTTAAGTATTTTCGCTACTGGACCACCTCACTTCAATATTATGCGCCTTTGATATAAATATTAATCACGATTTATCATAAATAATGCCGATATTACAGTTTCTATTTTAATTAACCGTTCACATACCATAAGAAACGATCATACCATAGTATACTATTGCTTGATCTGTTACATCTAAACTAAAAAATATGATATTGTTAATGAATTCTTACTTTGTTTAATTGGTTACATGGAATTGGATGTTTTTATTATTTGTACCCAATACGATAGTGTAGCCAAAAAGTATACTCCAATACTTTTTGGCTACACTATCGTATTGGGTTAACCAGGAATGATAGTGTTGTGCGAGTGTGTAATAAAGAAATAAATAAATGCGTTTTACGTTAACCAGGTCCATATCATAAAATACCAAAATTGTTCTAAAAACATAACGCGCCAAGAAATGACATTTTATATATAAATATATAAAAATTTATTTAAAAGCTTTCTGTCTATTCCAAAAATACACATCTACTGTTAGGACATAAAGGGTATATAATTGATAAGACATAATGTTAAGCATTTTCTATATTTACATACATACATACGCCTTTATAAAATTTACATCAAAACAACAACAATACGCAGCTTGTATTTCGTGACACTCCACTTTCTCCAATGGCCTATACTATACTATGACAACGCGTGAATTGGGTGAGAAGAAAGCAGCAAAAATAAATCAAAGAATGTAACTTACACACGTCTGAGAAATATTGAGCGAAATTTTACAATACGACGTCGTAATCCACCTAAAACACCGCAAAGGGAGAAAGCTTTCCTCTGTATTGCTTATCCGAAGAGATCCGTTCCATTGTCTCATATTAACAAAGATATAAAAATTTCAACAATTCCATTAACAACGCACTAGCGTGATAAGCTAATGCATTAAATCCGTAACAAATCCATAAATATTTCGTATGTACAATTGTTATCTAAGATTAAAACGTAGCGTTCATCGACTTGGTCTAGACTTTAGACTAACTGCAACTCTATAAAATGTAAGAGGAAATGTAATAAATCAATCGTACGCTCATAAATATGTTAGGGATGAAACATTATTATTTGAAATATACTTGTAATTGAACTTTTTTATCTAAGAAGAATTGAAGTATGCCGTGCCGTATTTATAAAGTATTTAAAAATTATTTCTATTACAACATTTAAACAACAACTTTAACAATTATAATCATTTTAGATTTGCGTTAGAAGAACCAAAAAAATTCTAAATATTTATTTTTAATGTATAGGATTATGTATTGACCATTCTATTAAATCGATTTCTTGTAAAAATATAATACAATATTTATTTGAAATGTACTTTATATTTGCTTTATTTGTATTATTTTAAGTGAAGAAGCATCATATCACTAAACAATTGTAAAATAAAGAGTTGATTCGCGAGAAATGCTTGAAAAGTAAAGATACAACAGTTTAAATTTTAAGCTGAATCTAAACACATGTTAAATTTATTTTCGTATTGAAAGTTGTAACAAGATTTCATAAACTATCATTCATCAACTTACATAAATTGTCATCTTCAAAGTGTAAAGCATCACGTGCGTTGTGAGACTTTGCTACAAGCAAACTATGCGCTCCGTGAATGCCCCGATGAGGGTCATGTCCGTGGACAGAGCGGCTCGCATCACTTGGGGAGCAACGGCATCCTTCACTCTGAGAGTGAACTCCCTGCGAACTGGCGGTGGCAGGACGCCGCCTACTGCATTCAGCACCCTCGTTCTGCCTGCCACGTCCAACGGCATTCCCTCGACACTTTTTCCAAGTATCCGTCGCACGCATGCCGACCTGCACGCCTCCCTCTCAGCTTCGAAGAGCTCCCTCGCAGCTATTTCGAAGGTCCGCCGCTTGTCCACGCCGCCGACGTTAGAACCGCTACCCGGGACGCCTTCCTCGATCGCTTTCAACGCACCAGCCTTGAGTAGGGCGGGCAACAGGAGTTCGGCAACGGCCCCCACGGTGCGTGAACGTAGAAAGTGAAGAACCTGTTCCGCCTCCCGTGCCTCGTCGAAGAGTCGCCTCTGTCTCGCGGCTGGGACTGGCCGGGCCACGTTCCACGCTTCCACCCACGGGTTCCCGGGCAGCAGCATGCGATCGCCTAAAGAGCCGCCATCGTCCGGTTTCCAGTCCCGTGGGGAGTACCAGTGGACGAAGTCACACAGCTCCGCACCCGGGTTGGCGGCTTTGAACGCCTCCATGTCGGACAACAGTGAAGCGCTCATCATCCTGGCACGGAGCTCTGAGGCTTTCGCATCGTCACCTAAGCGAACCATCAGCTCGGCGTCCTCTTCCAACTGATCTTCTGTCTTCGGTGCCGGATCCTGCGATGATGAATTACGCTATTACTTAAAATACATGTAAGTAATTTTATGCTCAGAGTAACATTACATAAAAACCTTATAGATCCATATACGTAGGAACTAATAACGGCTGTGCTTTAATGAACTGTAATAGCGCCCTGCAGTCTCTTCAGCTGTTGTAGCTGTGAGATAGCTTTCGTGGGTTATTAACTTTATTAATGGTTGGCAACGCATCTGCCACCTCTAAAGTGTTGTAGATGTCCATGGGCAGCAAATCATCCAAAACCTGGTGAACCGCCGGCTCACTTTCCAGCGTTTAATATAAAATCACCTATAAAATCCTGAGATATGCGAGTACGAGTTGAAGCGAAGTACGGTATTTGTCAACCCCGTAAAGTTCATCAGTCGTGAGGGCGATCAGTGAGGGTACTGAACGGAAGAAGTTGTGCGGCAACTGGCTTAGATTAGATATTAGAAAGAATGGATTACTTTTGTATTGTATGATATATGATATACAGTAATAGCCTCTGCTGCGTAAGCTTATTGTAGTAGTAAATGGCTATTTTTATTTATATTCCATTTAGTTCGTAGGTCATACGGAGGCTCTACCTAGGAACCGTTAAAATAGCAGTGAAACTTTTCCTGCACTTGCTAGGGATACATGATTGTGGCTCTCGCTAAAGTGCAATAGCGAAACTTCGCTAAATTTTCTCGGTAACGTATACAGTTGCAAGCGTAGTCCGTTTAGCAGAAACTTTTAACAATGTGCAGTCCGCGATATAAGAGAAAAATATTTTAAAAATTTCTTCTGCATACTTGCGTGCGCGGAACGTAAAGTGGGGCGCCATTCTTGAGCGTTTCGTTTCCAAGGCGGCTGAGGCGTCCCACCGGCCGGTCCCACGGGGGCTGCTCCTCGCCCCCCTCGCCCTCGGAACAGTCGAAGAATTCTTCCTCCGAGGAATTGCTGCCCACGCCCCCATTGCCTTGCAGCACCCGTTTAATGCAACAGTTGAGGAGTTGCAGCTTCTGATGTAAAAGGCAAGTCCGAGCGTTGGGCGCGCCTTCCGCCACTCTGTTGACAAAATGACGATCACAAAAATTCGGGTGACTTCACGACTGAATATAATAACCAAAATCATTTAGTATAATACAAATCATCAGCTAGTTTTTAACTATTAACGAGTTGGACTCCATCCATTGTACAATATTCGAGAGTGCGCCTAAGAAAGCCTTCATTTTAAGAAACTATAGAAAATAAAAACATTTATACACGCTCTATTCATTAAACAACAATTGTCACGTGCAGTGAGCTCCGTTTAACTTTCACTCGGAATGTAATTTTTTGGAAGACAAACGCGCGACCTCGAAACGAAAGCAAATAAATCAAGAGAGCCCACGGCGAGCGGAGCGGTACGCGGCGCAGCGCGCGTTTTCTCTTTCACGTATGCAAATTGTGCAGGCTCCCAGCGATCTCGGAGCAAGTCTTTTTCCACTAAAGGCTAGCTCACTTTCAAAGGCGACGCTGAGACACCTGCGGGCGGCGTCCGCAACACTCGGTTTCTGTGCCGTGACCCAGAATCGGTGGGGGCTTGGATGGACCGTTATGATATTGAATTACAAATGCGCCGACGGACAGGAGGCGAGCGCTGGCACGGCCGCATCTCCACTGCTCGGCGCTCGGCTCCTAATCGGTCGGTGAACCGTTAGTTTCCCGGGGCCGATGTGGGCCCCGTGTAGGTCAGGAGATGCCGGCGGGGAGACTGCGCACGAGCCGGCGCAGTCGTGAGCGCGTACTCGAGCTGAACGCAGGCGCATCCAGACATGTGGCCCCGTTGCCATAGCGACACGCCTCAGTTAACTCGCACCACGATCAGTGACCAATGAAACTGTGATTCGACGATGATGAACGATCGGTGTTGATCGGTGTAACACGTGACAGTGATCGACCAAAGTGAACACCGGATTTTGATTTTTATATATTACGCGAATCAAAGCACAATGGTGAGTGGCTTCCATGTATATTTTTCCTATTAATATAATAGATAATCTAAATAGTAATAATATGATGTAGCACATGTCAACCTCCACTTTAGGCTCAAGCCGAGCCAGTAGCTTTTTAAATCTGTATGTCAGGTTTTAAACATGAATACGACAACCCTCTATCGGACATACCATAAAGCCAAAATCCATAATTTTCCAGTATAATTTTCCAGTCGGAAATGACATTAGTTTTATGAAATGATATTCGTTAACGGTAAAAGTATCAATATAAATCAACATTCTCGAAATACAGCATATCGATATAGCGGAGGCTATTATTGTGATTTATAGAGAAATGAAGTGAGAATTGTTTGGAGTGTTGTGAAACCATTATATCACTTAAAAAATCTCGTTTCGGGCTATTCGGTATGGGTAACAGTTTCGTTTGATAGTTTATTTGGCGAAGTTTCAATGCGGCGCGGCTTAATGGGGTTGCCGGTGGCCCACGGAGGCCGACTACAATGTAAAGTGCAACGAACGCTTCGAGGCTTCACACGAGAACCTCATTTAAACTTTTAAAGTCAACAATATTCCCGGCATTGCTTCACTTCGAGTTTAATATACCGAATAGAATAATCGTAAATATAACTTTATAAAAATTAAATAACAGTAATATTTAAATAGTAAAACCATATTTTATAATTACAAGAATACTGAAACACCAATGGCAAAATTTTGTAAAATTCATAAGTATAATAAAGATAAAAATTAACATGAGATTAAAAACAATATCTTCTACAGAGCGTAATTCTCTTCATAGATAATATTACCTAATGAATGTGTCAAAACGCAAATCATTTGAAATGGGACTTACAGATTCATAACATGCGACGTGGCGACAGCAACTATCACATGAGCGCTTCCATAATTCATGGAGTGAAAACTTTATGAATACGATCATCCCGGCAAATGCGAAATATCGCATTCAGCGTTTAGAACAAAAATATCGAGCGATCGAACGTACTTATTTTAAATTTTAAAGTTTTTATAGTGCTAATCTCTGCACTTAAGATTGAACATTAAAGCATGTAGAAAAAGTACGAAAAGATTGTCGCCGCTGTGGGAATTGAACCCACGTCTTCGGCATTCGCATGTCGCTGTGGCTATCAGCCGTTTAGCTCAGTGGCTAGAGCGTCAGGCCGCGAATGCCGAAGACGTGGGTTCGATTCCCACAGCGGCGACAATCTTTTCGTACTTTTTCTACATTTTTTAATGTACTTATTTTAGTTTTTTATGTGAGAATATGGCGCACTAGGTGGTCCATCTAATTCCACAAACTTTGAAACTGTTCGTGTTGCCCGTAGAAACGGCATCAGGTACCCCCTTCCCCAGATGAAACCCAAACATGTTATACATCCACTTTACGCCGTCTCCTGTGAGGCCGTGATACTTCCCCATCAATTCATACAACAACAGAATACCGCTGCCAGTGAATTAAATACTTCTTTACAATAGTTTTATCATTGGCTTTGCAAAGCAAGATCAACCATTTTATTGCACCTGAAAGAACTTCTAAAAGATTTCTTTTCTTTAACAAAAATACTCTAAGAAAATAAAACGCTAAGAAATAATTCCTGTCGCTAGAGGCTTCACAAACATGAAACTCACAACACAAATTACATCTAGACTCGGAACAATTATTTATGCATGGTACAAATTTTTGTCCCGTGTAGTGTCGAACCGAGAACACGATGCGCAGTTTACCAATTGACCACCTAAACAACGGCCCTATACTTGTATGCAAAATTGATCATAAACGCTTAAAGGCCCATTTACACGATACCATTTTCTTGTACATACAAGAGCAATAATTGAATGCAATAAGTTGCGCGCAATAATTGTTTAGACCATTTCTTGTTTAGACCATGCAACTCATTTATTGCTCCAATTTAATTGTATACAACAGGCAAGAAACTGGCACCGTGTAAATGGGCCTTTACAATTCTAATGGCACCAGACTTCTTAAGCGAAAGCGCGCGGGCGAACAATATGCGGAAATCTCATACAATTTTCATGTCAAATCATCAATTGACACTACTTTTTTTTGCGTCAATAAATTTCACCTTAGACCCGTTCGTGAACAAAAACACGGCGGCGTCGCACTCTAGACAATAGGAAGAATAAAGACCCATTTACACGGTGCAAGTTTCTTGCCTGTTGTATACAATTAAATTGAAGCAATAAATGAGTTGCATGGTCTAAACAACAAATGGTCTAACAAATTATTGCGCGCAATTTATTGCATTCAATTATTGCTCTTGTATGTACAAGAAAATGGCATCGTGTAAATGGGCCTTAACTGTGCTAAGATTCCAAACACCGTATGCGTGTATCGTGGGAAGAAGACGGGGATAGCTTGCAAAATATTTGAATTAAACTATGATGACATTTAGACGCCAACCTTGAGTCTAAAAGTGGCTTATTTCAAATTCCAAACGCTATCATTTTTTAAACAAAATGATCGGATCAAAGCGGAGATTTACTTAACTTTTGATTTTCAGTAAGCTTGTTTTGCCTTGACTTTGACCGTACGTCACAATATTTATATGTAAGGCAAGGTTAGCGCAAAGCGCAACTGAAACTTTCACTACATCTTTGCTTTCAGCTTTCGTGTATCTCGGAATGGAAAAACAAGGAAAATCGTTGCCTTGTTCAAAGATTAACGAAAAAAAATAAATTTAAGTACAGATTTAATCTTTATTTATTAATTATTTACCTCATTGCATACTAGAATAAAATAGAAATTCCTTACCAATTTTATCGTGTTTAATTTAAACTTAAACTTCCGATGCTTAAATTAATACGGCACGGTTACGGTTACAGGATGGACAAAAACCCGCAAAAATAGTTAAATTTTTTTATGTCATGTTCGCCGAAATATAAAAAGTTATGTTTACTTAATAATACTCGAACTTTCTTTTTTTACGATAGACTTTACTATAAAAATTGGAGGCAAACACTTGATAAGTGCTTTGATATTTTTTCCAATATTATAACGATATTTGACCTATTATACTATAACAATAATTGACGGCCTGAATGGCGTAGTGGGTAGTGTACCTGCCTCCTACGTCAAAGGGTGTGGGTTCGATCCCCACTACTGTAAAATATTGTGTGATGAACATAGTGATTTTCTACTGTCTGGGTGTTTATATGTATAGTATGTATTTATTAACAAAAGAAAAATATGTTTAAGTAAGTGGATCAGCTTTCTAGTACACAGTACGTAGTAGTAGTACAAGCATTGCTTAGTTTGGAAAAAAATGTTTTTAAGAAAATGTAATGTAAAAATGTATCCTAAAATATATATTTATTATTAAAAAAAATTATTACAATAGCCTTAATATGTTACAATACGGAGGCATTAAATAAATAAATATATAAATATTTTTAGAGTTGTCTTTAAGTTTCTCATTAAATTGTTACATGTAATTTCTTTCTTATCGTACTAGATATTTAAAGATATATTTACATCGAAACCTCAAACGTCGTTCAAAAATAAATTAACTTGTAAATCTGTGACCTACTCCTGTCTATATAATCGTATCCACCGGTTTAAACACATTCCGATTTACATACTCATGATGAAACCACTTTGTATGTGTGAAAGAAGACTCGAAGTGGGTACAACTGTACTATGCATTGGATTGTCTACAACAACTTTAACGCAATAAGACAGATAAATAATCTTTGCGACCGTGTCAAAATACAAGGTGTGTTAACCTTTGCCACACTGCCTAAGAAGATGACAACACCCTGTGGTGGCGAATTTCATTTTGCCAGAATCAAATGTCCAAGTAATGAATCTTTTTTATAAATTCGTTTGAGCACAAAGCAGGAACTACGTATCACTGTTAATTGTATCGATAGCATCCGGTTTATAAAATCGATATAATTAACAGTATCACGTAGTTTGATGATTGGTGAGCCCTATTGGCCTTATTGGGAATATCGAAAGCAAGCAGGCGATTCGCTAAAAATTCCGGGTGTATCGCCACCCGTGATTATATATACGTTATCAATTTTTCAGTGTCGACCTCTGTTTCCTCACTGATAAGGTGAAACGCAAAGATACTTCGTGCTGGTCTTCGTTGTGGTCGTGATTTATTCCCGAATGAAAAAACCAGAAAAAAGGTACACATAAGTACCGAAATATAGAAATAGCCAATGTTTATTCTATGCATTTCGGCTCCATATGTGAATTTTTCAATGAAAGTAGGTCTTATATCTTATATTCTATTACATATTAAATGTCCAGCTTGTACAGTTAGTAAGAGACGTTTATTATTATTTGTATAACATTCACCTTTTTCTTAAAAACTGTTTTCAGTCTTTACTTACTCTCAAGTTTATGATTTTATATTAGACGTAGCGTAGCCAAAAGCGAAGAATTGTTTTTTTACAATCAAGTGAGTATTCATTCTGTACAAAATTTTAACAAATAGAAAGTTTAGCTTGCCTCCATTAGAATTTACTTTTAATAAATTCTAACCAAAATCAATTGCTCGTTTAAGACAGTCTTCAATTTAAAATTTAAATCACACAAAACTAAACTGCGACAACTTAAAGTAACATTTTTCCGCTCTTAGATAAGCGTTTCTAACTTTCTAAAACTAACCCTTTTTTATTTTTATGGTTTTCTTTGTTTCAATTAAGTGAAGGTGGTAAAGATAGTCGGACTTTCGATCTAAGGCAGAATCGAAAAATCATAAGAGAACCTTAGGAATTTTCCCTTTAATCGGTTTCTTGCATACAAATACCGCTATTCCAGAGTTTGTGAACACAAAATCTCAAAATTT